ATGAGCTCTGGGAGGATAAAAAGATTATCCATGAAGAATGCAAAAGGTCATTACAAAGACAAAGGAGGAAGGAAAGAACAAGGTGGATATCAGAAGAGACTCTAAGTTTTGCACTATAGTACTGAAAAGCCAAAGAAAAGGGAAGAAATAAAGTTAAGGAATTGAACAGATGATTTCAAAGGGCAGCATGAGAAGACAAAGCAAAGTATTAAAACGGAATGTGCAAAGAGCTAGTGTTGGAAAATCAAAAGCTTGAAATTTTTCAGCATTTCTTAAGCTGAAGGAGCTATAAAGAACAAAATACAAGCCTTCAGTTGCAATACTTAAGGATGCTGTTGGCAGAAAAAGGAATGATCCACAAAGCATTAAAAGAAGATGGAAGGAGTACATAGAGTCACTGTACCAAAATGAACTGGCTGACAGAATTATTTCATGAAACAACTTGTATTCAAGGGGCAATGGTGATGAAGGAGGAAGTTCATGCTGCTCTGAAGGAATTAGCAAAAAAACAAGGCCCCAGGAATTGACAGTACACCAATTAACATATTTCAACAAACAGATGGAGCCCTAGAACTGCTCACCAGGCTGTGCCAAGAAATCTGGAGGTCACCTACCTGGCTAATTGACTAGAACAGATTCATATTTATTTCCATTCCAAAAAAAGGTGATCCAACAGAGTGCGGAAATTATAAAAAAATATCACTAATAACACATGCAAAAAAATTCTACTGAAGATTATCCAAAGTGACTGGAACAATACACTGACAGAGAACTACCAGAAATACAAGTTGGGTTTAGACAAGGCCATGGCACTAGGGGCATGATTGTCAATATCCGATGGATCTTGGCCAAAAGCAGAGAATACCAGAGGAATGTCTGTGTTTCATTGACTATGCAAAGGCATTTAACTGTTTGGATAACAACAAATTAAAGCTAACATTAAGGCAAACAGGCATCCCAGACCACCTGATTGTGCTCATGCAAAACCTATCCTTGGACCAGGAGACAGTCATCAGATCAAGGAAACACTGTATGGTTCTTACTCAAAAAAGGAGTGTGTCAGAAATGTGTCCTCTCTCTACACTTTTTTAAATCATATGCAGAACAAATCACTTGAGAGGCTGGCCTTTTGATGGTGAATGTGGCATCAAGATTAGAGGAAGACTCATCAAAAGCCTGTATTATGCACATAACAGAACCTTACTTGCCGAAATTGAGGAGGGCCTGAAACATTTGCTGCAGAGGGCCAAGGGGTGTAGTTTGGAATATGGATTGAAGCTCAACATCAAAAAAACAAAGATTCTCACCACTCAGCCAACTGGCAGCATTGTGATAGATGGAGAAAAGATTGCAGTTGTTAACAGTTTCAGCTTGCTCAGTTCCACAATCAGTATTCTTGGCACCAGTCATCAGGAAATCAAAAGACAAATCGCATTAGGGAAATCTGCTGTCAGAGACTTTTCCAGAGTACTGAAGAGCAAGGATGTCAGTCTAGAGACTAAAGTACACTTGATCCAGGCCATGGTCTTCACACTTACTCAGAGAGCTAGACAATAACCAAGGATAACA